GTATCTGGACTCTCGGAAGGGAGGTCTGGTGGGTGTGACTGAACAGCAGCAAGTTGGGGAATGAACCCAACTTGTCAGTGGAGAGGCCAGTCCTGTTGAGAGCGATGGAAATGATCTGGTAATGCTGAGTGTATGTCTGCCTCTTAGCACATATGACCTGTGAGCTGCCTCAGTAGTTTCCTGCTGATGCTAAAGTACTAAAAGCACTTTGGAGACACAAAAATATATATTTTGGAATGTTAATTTGATGGCAAGCATAAAATATTGGCTATCAGAAACCGAAAGGCTTAAAACCCCAAATAACACTTCCTGAACCTGTAATAATCTTTAGTAAATTGAGTTTATACAGTAAGTAGATTCCATTTTTTTTGGAGGGGTTAGCTGTGGGGCTTGAACTCTGGGCCAGGGCCCTGTACCTCAGCTCTTCAGTTCAAGGATAGTACTCTACCACTTGAGCCACAGCGCCACTTCTGGTTTTCTAGTTGTTTATTGGAATAGAGTTTCATGGACTTCCCTGCCTGGGCTGGCTTTGAACTGAAATCCTCATATCTCAGCATCCTGAATAGCTGGGATTACAGGCATAGGCCATCAGCATCTGGCTTCAATCCACTTTTATTCAGAAATTCTAGCTTGTGAAACTTTGTTATTCTCAATTTACAGATGGTACTGCTGGGCCAGAAAGCTTGTGATTTGGTTTTAAGTATGTGCTTCAATTAATAGGAGTAGGGCTGGACGGTCTGGCTCACTTTGCCTCTAAGATCAATACAACCTCAAAGAAAAAGTTGTCTGTCTTTAAATGGTGTTTATATTGGATGGGCCTTGTTGATATTAATCACTATCTATTACAATAAAGCTTTAAGCACAATCTTCATTAAACTCTTACTGACATTCCTCTTTGGAGAAAAAACATCCTGTGCCACTGGAACTTTTACATGCAACTTCCCATGAAGGCCCTAAATTTATCAACCAGTTTTCTCAACTGCTGGCCCCTCCATTAACCATACTGCAGGAAAGAGACTAAAGACCCAGACCATTGTGAATTATCTAAATGATATTCACTTATCCATTTACAATGAGTTCCAATAAATGTGGTTCAAACAGAAAGCCTTTCCCAAATAGCACAAAAGTTTAGCGAGCGGGCTCCGGAGCCAGCCTGCCTAGGCTCAGATTATTCCGGAGCCAGACTGCCTAGGCTCAGATTATTCCGGAGCCAGACTGCCTAGGCTCAGATTATTCCTAGCCCTTCCATCACCTTCTGTTTTAGGGACTTTGTGCAAAAGACAACCTATTTTCTCATCTTTAGCATAGCTAAAAGCAGATTCCATCTAGTTCGGTGAAATGAATACATGAATAAACCTAGACTGTGCTTAGCATAGAATAAGTGCTTCACACTAATGGTGTGTGCCAGCTGGAAAGAGTGTTAGGGAAAAATTACATCTCTGCTTTCCGGCTCGAGTACCTGAAGGTAGCCATTGGCTCAGTCCTGAGAAGCACAGGACAGAAATGGGTTAGTAGGGGAAGCTCAGTTCTCTGTGAAATGTTCATTTGAAATATCTCTGTGATGTAAGCAAGGATACCAAGTAGGCATTCAACATAGTAACCCATTCTGGATAATAACTAACTTTCCTGTGTATTTCGGACTCTCCATTCTACAAATTTTCTGGCGTTCTACAAACACACAAATTCCATCTGCTTCAGATTTCTGAATAACAATTAATATAAGAATAGCATGCTGGGCGCCGGTGGCTCACAACTGTAATCCTAGCTACTCTGGAGGCTGAGATCTGAGGATCACAGTTCAAAGCCAGCCTGGGAAAGGAAAGTCCGTGAGACTCTTATCTCCAATAAACCACTAGAAAACCAGAAGTGGCACTGTGGCTCAAGTGGTAGAGTGCTGGCCTTGAGCGGAAGAGCTGAGGGACAGCGCCCAAACCCCAGAGTTCAAGCTCCACGACCGACCAAAAAAAAAGCATGTAGTAGATACTCACCAAATATTTGTTAAAGAAATAGTTTCTTCCTAAAGGTCCTAAATTTGTTCATGGGTTCCTTCACTTGTCGGCCTCCCGCCCTTCCTCCTCCTCTTCTCTCTTTACTCCTTTTTCTAAATTCTCTCATCTCCTTTCCTCCTCTTTAGAAAGGTTCTTGCTGTGTAGTCTGGGTTGGCCTAGAACTCACAATCCTCGCACCTTCACACAGGCATGTGCTGCCACATGTAGCTCTACATTTTGTGTAAAAATATAAATGCACTACAGTCAAAGCCAAGTAGATTTTTGACACAGAAACCAAGAAAGGAAAGGTCAGTCTACTTCTATGTATCTTTCTTTTATCCATTTATTCATTTACAATGATTGTTTACCAGGCACATATTTCCTATATGCCAAGTGCTATTCTAGGTGCAGAAGATATAACAATGAGCAGAACAGACAAAGATTTCTTTACAAATGGGACTTTTACTTGCATCCATCAGGGAGGCTACAAAGAACAGGATACAGACATAATAAATAAAAACAAATATGTACTAACAAAAACAAAATAAATATTGATAAGGATGTGGGAAAATTGAGACATTTGTCTATTATTGACATAAAGGTTGCAGCTACTGTGGAACAAACAGTATGGTGGTTTCTCAAAAAAAAAAAAAGATTAAAAAGGGAATTGCCATATGATCCAATGACTGCACTCTGGATGTGCACGTACTTGTCAAACTGAAAGCTGTCTTCAAGACATAGCCATTCACCCTGCAACAGCCAAAAGATGCAATCCAGCTGTTTATTGACAGATGAATGAGTAGACAAAATGTAGTACATTCATACATTAGAATATTATTAAGACTTCAGAAATAGTGTTCTATCATTCCAAGGATATAAAGTCCTTAGAATTGTCTAGAAAGACAAAGTAGTCTTTCTAGGAGGGGGAAGGGGTTATTGTTTAATGGATATAGTTTTCCAAGATGAAAAGTGTTTCAGAAATTGGTTGCACGATCACGTGCATTTATTTAATAACACTACTGAACTATAAAGTACTTATATTACATCAAATTTTGTGTTATGTTATTTCAGCACAGTAATAAAAGTAAAAGAAAATAGGTCACAAGTCATCTATAGTGTGTAAGACAAAGTTGGAGCAAAGCCGGGGAAGGGGCTCCAGGATGCCAAGGGCACAAAGAGCAGCACTAATGAAGAGGGGGTTGGAAAAGGTAGAATTTGAGCAAGGGTTGTAAAGGTTTGTCTCCTGGCTGCTGTTACGACCTGTGGCCAGGTCTTCCAGGACCCCTGGTAGTGCGGCAGTGCCCACACATGGTAAGGCGGAGTATATCTGTACAGTACACGTTGGTAGGCAGTATCTGATATAAATGTAGGTGAAAGTTAAATAATCAACTTGATTGGAAAAACGATCCAGGTACTCAGGTAACACTTGCACAGGTTATAATCAGATGCCATCTGAGACTCGAGATTGTGTTACTATAAAG